TGTCACCCTTGTCTAACCTTAATCCAAGTGAATCCAAAATTGCTCCTTTGCTGGTTGGACAGCTTTGATGCGTATCAACTGGATTACACCAAAACAATAACTTATGTCTGTCTATGAAAGATTCTGTCTCGTGCGATAGGTCGAATACCATGAAGCGAATACCGTAAAAGCCAAATAGAGTGTGTAATTAGTAACCCTAAATACTGTTTTTGGTAACCAATTACCACGAATGATTGATATATTAAGGTTTATCTGTTGTCTTTTCTGAAGTGTCGATCGACGTGATTGCGATGGTAGAAAAGCGCTAATGGTCTCATCGATCTGTTATTATTATTGTTAGTCATTGATGCTATAGATGCAACGCTGGAAAACATGTTTAAATTGTTGGGTCATAAGGTTGGGGTAGTTTTTACTTTGTTACATTTACATTTTTGTGGGGATTTTGATGAAATGTCACAACTTCCATTCTCCTTTTCCAATTCGCTTACCCTAATTGACAATTTGCGTTTTTGATGTTTCAAATGGTCTCGCCGACGCTGTTGGAACAGATGTATTTGATGAATCGTTTTTAGTGATTTTTGTGTGGTGTTCTGGTGAGAAAAATGGCAAGTTTTTGTCCATCCTGTCTTCTCAAAAAGTGAACATTGCCTATGTGAAAACAGTTTATTAGAATGTTAGATGAGAAATAGCTTTCTGGCAATAAATTTATATTTGCTTCTTACTAGGCGCAGTGATACTTTGAATTTCAAAATATACTTTACCATGATATATAATAAATACGGGGACATATGAAACGTCTTTATCTGTATTATTCAAATTCATGTCCCCCATCATTAGGAAGTCGCCTTTTTCGCAACTTATAAACAAACAACTCTAGTATAAACCGATTGAAAAACGTTCAGTTCTAAAATCACAATGCAATTTGCAAAACAAATAGTAATTATTTATTGTAATATTACTGTTTCTAATTCCATTTCACTTCCATTACATTAGCAATTACCATAAGGAGATCTGACGCAACCACCTTTTGAGTGGTAAATAAACACACGCGAGCTTCCATTCATTCTTCGAAATTATATAAATCAATTGGGTTAATAGCCGGATTAAAATTCTCAAGTATCGATTTGTTTCCACCATTCACGCAACACGAACGGCGCAAATACACAGAACATAGCATATTTTGGATAGTAGCAATAGAATCACTGACCTGATATGCCCTTAAAATTTTGCGATGTTTGTGCCTTGATAAAAATTTGAAGAAATGTCGTTATTCAATCAAACTTTTATCAATAATTTCGATTTACAATGGAAATAAAATTCCCTGGGCGATTTGAATTTATTAGTGCCTTTCAAGTCCATATGTGAAAGATTGCATTTGCACAACCTTCGATGTTCGCGAGTGGGAGAATTTAAATCCACGATGGAAAGTACCATGTGCGTGTCTATTGTCCTTTTTCTTCAGGGCACTCCATTTAATATGAAATACGAGCTTATTTTAATTTTGATTCTATCGCAATGTACGCGGGGGATATAGATTTTATAGACATGCATTAAAATATGATATTATGGCATGAAGCTGATATCAAGGAATACAGCGCAGAGATTTATCGGAACCATATTTATTGCACTCAAATTCTTCACTCGCTTGATTTGTATACTATTTTAGCTGCAGCGATAAAAGACGAACGATTTCAAAAACCTGATAGCAATGCGCATTTTTAAGCTGGGATCTCCTTTTGTTTTGGCCGGATTTTGGGATAACAAATTTAATGTTAAATCACGGATGTGCATACCTATTACAATGGTGGCGCCTCATGACACGTGTCTAGCGCGGAGGTGTCACAACACTTGACCCGGCTCTATTTTTGGACGCTTCCTGACAATTAGATCACAAAAATAGTTTTAGTTTAAAATAGTCATCACCACTCGAACACTCTGATTTTTATTGGCGATCACTGTTAATATTTGTAGTACGTGTTCTTACAGATACTCAATGTCGTTATTTTCGTAAAATTATTGATTTTCATGCATCTAAAATGAAAAGTTTTTTCAATGCTAGTTTTTTTGGTTATTTTGGCAAACGGAATTCTAAATCACAGTTAGGTGCGTGAGAGAGACGACCCTTTATTTTAAAACTTATGAATTCCAGGCGCATTTGCACGACTAGCACATCGACTTCGCTTATCGCCCAAGAGTGTCCCGACTGATGGCGATAAGATATAATTTTGACGCCCTAAATTTTCATTTTGTATTGTTATCCTCTGGCATTACCAGAAATATGATATTTTGTTGGTGGGGTAAAATGCAGACCACGTTAAATGATTTGGACTCTGTCACGCAATTTCCTTTTCTTCTGGTACTAATAAGATCGGTATAGGTCATATCTTTTGATTATTTCGAATTAATCCCATCCTTTGCACGCTATATTTTGAACAAATAGATAGTATTACAATACATATATTTTATGAATTTAGAAAGTGCGTGCTAGTGACAAATTACTAGTTCATTTTCATTTCACCGATCTCAAATCTACAACGACTAATTTGCATGTGGCTGATTAGTGGTTGAAGACCTCTATATGTGGATGTGGCGTGTTTTGTAAGATAAGCCTCTAAGGCGGTGTGGCAAGCAAACTTCGAACAATGACATAAAATGAATTCTTATATGTTGAAAAAAGGATTTAGCAAAGCAAAGTATTCAATTTGGTTGACCATGAACCCTGTGTTGAAATGTTTGGATATGCCTACAAGCGATAGTTTTTAGATAGCGCGACAATAGAATAATTTTTGTAAAAATATAATTTGTAAATGTTACTTCTTACTTCTTATCGTGCCTTATTCTAATGGAGTTAATTAACTCGTTTCACTTAAATAATGCATACTGAATGGGCAATATTAAAAACATTTGAAAGCATTATTAATTTGTATTTGCAAATGTTGATTCAAATGTACGAAACAATCAAATGTGCAAAGTATTCTCGTTGAGAATTGGCATTTTGTATTTGCCTTATTTGCATACTACTTTGGTATACGTTTAAACTATACGTCGGCGACTGACACTAACATTTATCTTGAGCCTTTAACCCACTTTCTTTAGTTGCAAGTCGCCAATGATTATTTTCTTGGAAATCATAAGACAACAAAAATGTTACGGAGACGAGCCTGTAACTCACGTAATTAAATATACACCAGAGGAATTATATCATTGTGTAGATATAAAAAAATCATTAAATCAAAGTGTTTTACATTCGATATTATATAATATCTGAAATGCAAAAAGATAAAAAGTGCGAAAAATAAAAAATGCTAATATATAATTGGAATATCATTTATTGACATTCGGTAGCGAGTCATCGTGTTAACTGTTAAGATAAAAATGTCTGAGACAAATTCTTTACGAAAGATACTATTCTTCCATGCTTGTGGATGACGAAATTTTTCTAAGAAAGTGAATTTAGCGAAGAGACCACGATTTTAGTGTATCGGTGTATCTAAATACTTTTCAAAATAGGAGCATTATATTGAATTTTTCTTTATATACTTTTGTGAAGTTACACCCGGGTGCACCCTATGACAGACGTAACGACTATCGCTACATTGTCATTATTTGAAGATAAATTGTTACAACTATGACCGGTTTCTATATAAATATATACAAACAACAGATCCGATTGTACGCATTTTACGTGAGAAGTCATCTTCTTCATATGACGTCATTACCCATGATCAATTTGACCAACCCACAGTAATTTTAAGTTAATGGGTGGTGTTTCGGAGATCAGGGTAATCGAACCAACTATATCAAAATATATTTATAATGTCAAATTGCATCACAATTTCCCATCAACTTACAATACGACGACCGTAAAAATAACTTTTATATTTATATAGATAATCTGTATATATATACGTTTGGTATAGTTATGCATAAAATAATAGATCTCTGCCACATTTGTTTGTTTAGTTTTTAGGAGATCTGTAATCCAACCTAATACCGAATGAGAAATGGGAGTGGTCGCCTCCGGTTATGCTTTTTGGGGGTTAGGTGTGAATTGTAATGGAATTGGAAGAATCCGCTACTTGTAGTATTAAAGATTACTATAATTAGCGGTTTGAATCTTCGGGTTTATTTTCTTTGTGATCTATTTATTTACCTATTTTTGTATATGCAGTTTGTATACAACTTATTTTCCATTCAGGCTTGATACGTTATATCAGGGGTCGGGAACCTTTTTGGTCAAGAGAGCCCTAAAATATACATATTTTCAATTGCATTTCCGTGCGAGCCATATAACATTTCTTCACTTAATCAGGCCTGAAACGTTTACTCAAACGTCAACACATTCCATGTCAATATACATTTAATGTGACTTCTGATGCTGCATGTTGTCGCTGCGGGCCTTGAACGGTTGCTCACATGCAGCCCAAGTTGAAATCTACGATAGTCATCACCCTTTTTCGTTTAGGCATCTCCGTAGTATTTTAAAACTCTATCGCTTTGTGATGTCACAATATATGTTCCAGAATCCCCATGTTTTGTCACAATGCCTGTCTGGTAATTCTCTTACATAACATAGACATGCGCTAGGCCCGCGTTGTCAAACGTATTGGGAATTTTTTGCCAAATTTGGCCATGAAATAGTTTGAAGTCTAGTAACAATAGTAAGCTTAATCTTAGAATAATAGATATTTCTGGGAGCCATATGCCGTCACCAAAAGAGCCATATATGGCTCGCGAGCCATGGGTTCCCGACCTCTGCGTTATATGATAGTGTTTAGCTGATGGACTTTTAATTATGGTAACCTTGATTTGTAACCATTTTCAATCGATGATCATTTTGGAATATAGCTGCTTTTAGAAACAACTAAACGTTTATATCAAAACCGCCAAAATATCACATTTGCTAAAAGGAATAGACTAATATGCAGTATAAAATAGTTCCGCATTTTATGCAGAAATAGCCTCCATTTTATTGATGTTTGTCTTGTATGTACTTTCAGAAGCAGCCGGATGTGTACCAACATGCGAGAGAAAGACGGTTCCATGAATTTGCGTCAGTGATAGTTGACGGTGAGAAATATATGACTGCGCAAGATTTTCTTGAATCTGTAACTGAAGAAGAACCGCGGCGTAAGTATTAGATTATTTCGTTAAAATCAGTTGCCCATCAGTCTATATTTCGTATAACAACTAACTCCTCTTCTGTTACATCTATATTTAACATTTGAATATCTTGCCTGGTTTAATTATCTCGATAAAATGACAGTTGTAGCAATGTCGAACCTAAAATTCGTGTATTGTTATTGAAAAGCACTATTGGTCAATGTGTAAATTTTCCAGCGTTACGTTATTTTAGGCGATCCTAAACTAGACTTCGATGAAGCAGGGCGTCGAAGTAGCATATGTATCGCAAATAGTACGCCATTTATTATGAGTTTCATTTGATTTCAAATACATCAGCTCGGTTTTGAAAGGGTGCATCTTTAGATTTGGGACTGCTACTGCTTTATCCTGCTTGTGTATTTCCACACAATTGTTCAGATACAATCTCGTTGAAATACCAATTCCACATCTGGTTTGGTTTCGGTTTTATTCAACTGTAGCATAATTACCATCTGAATACATTTGATCACAAATCTTGAAAGCACTCGTGAAAATCTTCAAGGGCGACGGGTTGAATGTCAATTTTGTCAAAGATAAAATGTGTTGTGCTCGTGAAACGTTACAGATTATTATTGCGAAGTACAAGTCACAGTCACGTAAACCTAGCACAAGTGAAAAGTACTCGACATTCTCTAAATTATTCGATGTAGATATAAATTGTGAGGGAAAACGTCTTATTCAGGAGGTATTGGGTTGTTATTTCGTGTTAAGTTATTGTGATCGTCTTCTCTTTTGTTCTTCATCGCCTGATGACGGACGGAGACTTGTGCATTTGATTTGAAATAGCGTATTTGCTGATTTTTCACTCAGACTTATTGGACATGAAGTGCACATATGGATCGTTTTGCTACATTCTTGTTCTTGTTGTCTGATTTCTTCGCAAAATCGGACCAATAGATTCCAATTTTAAATTCCCTAAATGTAGCTGAGAAGCCGTTAGATGGCTGGTATCATATAAAGTCTAAGTACAATGAGACCTGATATTTTATCAAAATTTTCTGTTTTGTTTCGAGTAACGGGAACACTTATGAAATATAGAAACACTTTTGTCACTCTTGTCTTCTGATTTTTTCAGAAAAATCAGTGCTCATTGATAAGCTACAACTCAGACCAGTAATTAATGCGTGACATTCGTATCCATATATTTGAACATTGGTTTTAATTCTTTACGCTGTTGCAACTTGTTAGTAACAAACTTCTGCTGTTATTTTTTTGGTGGATGACATGAATTGGTGGATGACATGACTCTCCAATTGTTTAATTATTCACCACAAAACATTTTGGTTTTACAGTTTTACAATTGTAAAACATGAATCAAGTTTCCATACATCCATCAGTAAACCCTAAATATTAATACCGAAAGTTTACCAGCCACTTCAAAGCACCGTGCATGTAAATTATTGGGCGGGTTATGGCGCAGCGTCATCATGCCGCTGTCATTCAATAAGCATTAAATTATATTTTTTGCAATTTGTTGGATAAACCGGCGTGTAATTCTATATCATTTTGGCATAATATCCTGGCCCCGTGACCGCCTTCGCACATCCGTTGAAATAATGACCGAAAAACCTTCCACCGCTGGTTTAAAATACTCATTATCTGACTATAATTACCACCTATTGAACAAGTTTTCTACTACGCAGTTCGATTAAAATTCTTGACTTTAAAGTAGTCTTTAATCACGCATCTATTATGAAGTAAGGGGTCCTTTGTTTTAAAACATTGTCTCGCTGAGTTAATCTGTGTTTTAACCTACTTATTTTTGATTCTCCAAAAGATAATTCTCGAGGACAATTATCATTTTCGGGTAAAGCAATTCCTCGAATATTGTTACTTTGACTCAATTTGTCAATTTTATTGCAACAATCCATGTTTTGCAACGGCTTGGCCTGAACTTCTTTGCTTATTATGGGGGTTATCACCAGATTCACCACGTCCACAGTTGCTTAACTTGAGAATATTATGGTACTGGTAAAGGTATTGAAGTTTTCGGGAGTTGATAGTGTGCATTACTACGAGTTGCCATTCTATTTACTTTGTTCGAAAATTTCAAAAATCTTGATACTTGTTGTCGAGGTTCACAGCAATCCTGCGATAAAAAAAATCAAAAGCAATTAATTCGTATATTCAAACGAACCAATCAACCAAAAACAGTGTTTTATGGTGTTGTGGAAACAAAACACATCCAGTTTCAATTAACAACTTATTCGGGAAGTGGCGTGACACAATAAGATGTAGGAAGTCTCTTGTTTTCTTCCTTACAGAATAGCAACGTTTATATAACCCGCAATTTTGTTAATTGCCGAGGATTTCCAGTTTGATACTATAAACAACATTTCACTTTGAAAGTTTTTTTCAGTTCATTGCGTCAATTGCGGACCAGTTTAATATCATGGATATTTTTTAGGAAATTGCGATTGTATTTCGTGTTTCAAAATAAGATTGCGCCAATAAAAGGAATTTGGAACAGAATATTTCGCTGGAGATGATAATACAACTCTAAGAGGACAATGCTGCAACCTTGTACAATAAGCCGAAGTACGTCATAAAAGCAAATAGTAGCCACTGGGGGCTCATGAACAGATCATGTTAAACAGCAAGCGCCAACAAGATAATGAGGAATGCGCAACCAAAATCTAATAAAAAGTAAAAATAACCACACCGCATAATTATTGCTTAATGTGATTTGTCATCATGCTCATGGTAATAAATTGATAATGGGAAAGAGCTTTCAAAACTACATTCGTCCCTTTTTTTCATCGCCCCGAATGGATGGACTCGAATTGAATCTAGTCCCAATTTTTTTTCAGTATATGTCTAAGATGATCGGTTTGGAATGCAAAAGTCAGCATTGATCTTTCTTATGTAAATGTGGCATTGTAGTTGGGAATCTGATAAAAACGACCCTTTATTGAAAACGCTCTAGATACATGGTTACACTTGGCATGTTGTTGTATTAGTATGGACTAGTTAATTTAGTACCGTTTCAGGTCAACCTGAACTGCCAAATTTTGGTTCTAATTGGATTTCCTCAATGTTTGAGTTTTGTCTCTAAATGTAGTTGTTGATTTGTTATCCCTAACTTCGAATAACCAGTGTTAACACGAAACGCCTTTTCTCGCAGTCACGTGATGCATGAGTCACGTGAGTACAGAATTGTTTTTGTTCATATCCTGATTTAGAAGTATATATTTGTGGATATAGCGTGTGGCATTGTGGGAATCTATTTCATCATTTGGTTTAATTGCGTACGATCACACACCATGGGAAAATGGATTTGTGAGTAGATATTAAGATGATATTGAATACGATGATTGAAATTATTGTGTTGGTTTCGGTTATACCATTCTATACGAACAAATCAAAATCCCCGGGAAATCTCACAACACCATATGTCGATCGGCGCAGGATTTACGCACCTGCGTGTTTCGTTTACCCGCTCATTTGATGCCTTCGAAATTATTTGGGGAAGTTTGTTTTTCGCACCAACCATGCTTGATCAAATCGATCAGTTTCATATAAAGACTCTGCCAGATTTTATTTCATTGTCTACGTCACACGTAACCCTAATTTTCAAAGAATTGTCAGCTTTTATTATCACATTTTAATAAGTATTGCTTAATGACAACCTTCATATAAAGCAGAGCGTGTCGCTAATTTATATCGGGCCTTTTGATTTTCCGATATTAATATGTATATCTATCTAAGCCGATTTTGATTGCACGCTATGCAACCCTCCGGGAATGGGTGTCCTATTCGTGTTCATTAAACCGTCTCGATCGAGTGTCGACGTTCCGGATATCGATCATTATTCTATGATGAAAGCCCCGTTACACACGACACCAAAGTTGATTTTGAACGTATTTAAGATCGAAATATACTTTTCTATATCTAGATAAGTACTTCGTTTCTATTTCGAGTTTGGTCGAGCTTGTAAAAATGGCGACAAATGTCTTGGCGCCCTGGTGGCATTGCCAAGCGCATGTACTTAACATGCGGTCGCTAATTCGAGTCACGTTACATGTTTCCTAAAGTTTTCGGTTAAATCGTCGATCTTCCACCCACAATTCACTTTTTACATTAACGCGCCCTCGCAAAAGTCTTCGTTTGTGGTAGTATTTTTTCTTGCATAAGGTAGGTTACATTTTTATTTTTTGTCATCGAAAGTTGGCGACCTACATTTTGGGTGACCATCTTTTTTTTTTTGCTTCTCTCATACATGGCGTAAACGGTAAATAACTCAGATACATTCAAAAACATGCTGCAACATTTAAAAGTGAACAAAACATATCTTTCTGGTCAAATGTAACCGAATGTTGATGCTTGGCAGTAGTTTCGAGAGGCGAGACGTGGTCGGACGGCAATCATTCATTTTTCATGTCGGTTGAATAATAGTCATCCACACGACAAGTGATGTCTAGCTCTGGCGTTTCGTCGTTAATTCCCCTTAATTATAATATAAGAATGAGGTTCGTCGAATGCTACGCTTTTCTCTATATTTACGATTAATAAAGTAAACTCAACAGCGTCAGAAGTGGTTCAAATTGTAAAAATACATTATGTAAGTTCATTAGAAGTGGAGTCTGAACTATTTCACCTCCACTTAATAACAAGATTGAAAACTGCTTTCTTGACAAAATATGGGGACTGGTGAGAGGTATAAAAGTCTGTCTTTTATTGCATGTTGAGTTATACAATCAAGTCATTTATACAAAGGCTCATTTTGTAGGTGCTCAATTGTAAACATAATACGTTTACGTTCTTTTAAATGTCTTCTGCTGTTAATTTATTCACCTTCCACAGTTCTAGAAATCTGCCCAATCACGATGTGCAATATCACTATATCGTAAGTTTGTACTATGTGTACATACACATTAAAATATGATGAACGGAATGTAACAATAAAAAAATGACTTGAGTATCTATTTTTACTCGCTTTAACCTATTTTGGTGACTTTGCGGTTCAT